TTTTCTTCCATTTTGACTTCGAGAACATAAATAAATAAATAAAATTCATGGAAGTGATCGAGCGATGACAACCATGAGGTGRGCTTGGAAGCAGCCATCCTTTGAAGAAAGCRTAATAGTTCACTGGTCTAGCTTCATGGCACCGAAAATGTATCAGGGCTCAAGTGATTCACCGAAGCGAYGAGGCCTTGAAAGCAGCTTTTTCACTTCCAACTAATGAAWTCTAACCCAGCTAGTTCAGTCAGATACYGGCTAAGCAACCTCTAAAGCAGCTATCGRAACAGTAGCAGCTTGAAATTTCACAAGCCAAGGACAAGATGAATCTATTGMTYTGCCTCCAAGAGAAGAAATGGCTTTCTTTTCCATCTACTTCTTTTCTTCCCAAATTCGAGAATACAACACAAATCCTCAATACTAAGGGGCCGTTTACCTAAACACTTACCCGGTAAGCACTTACCGGTAAAATTCAACTTTATCGCTTACTTACCGAGTAAGATTTTATTCACTAAAACGCATCGTATGCAACAATTTATCCCTGTAAGCGCTAACCATGGTAAGAGTCMTCGTYCTCACTTACCGGGTAAGACTCTCGATTCTTGTCTTCGYTTTTACCGGATAAGRTTCTTAGTSTTTATCATATTCATCCGATAAAGTAAAGTRAYTTGGTAAGCGCTTAYYMGGGTAAGCGTTTGGTAAACGCCACCYAAGTAATACTAAAATTTTACATWATAAATAACATTTTGATCAAACCAACAAACTCAAATTTTGGAGTTTTCTTAATTTTATTGTTGGCGGAGGCCATCTTTGACATTTCTATTAAAACAGAGAACTTTAAAACCTCGTTTCAACTATATTTTGTTATCRAAATACATAACGACATTATACACTAATTCAGAAACAAGTAACTGAAAGTTTAGTCAGAAATTTTAACTCAAATTCGTCCTCGTTGATTCTAAAATCCATCGTTCAACTGATTTCTCCCTAGGTTGTTAACAGGTTCTTTCTCCAATTTTTAGAGGAGTTCCAACCGCTACTAATTTCAATAAGTTACAAAACTTGTAACTTTGAAATTTGAGTAAGTATTGCAATATATATATATATATATATATATATATATAGACAGAGGGAATCCATATGATACTAAACAAGTGGTGCAGGACACCTAGTTTAAATGCATATCGCACGCACACCACCAGGTCCTCTCACGTGTATTATCACATGTGATAAAGGGTGTTGTCACGTTTTAGAAAAATGAAAGATGCTCTACACACACTACACCTCTGTGTGTGTATGTGAAACTAGAGATTCCAATGGGAAGTTATAAATAATGAAGTGGCAAACCATTCAACAAATGCCTAGAAATACATGAAGAAGATATGGAGAAAGCTTGTGTAACTAATTAAGATGAGAAAATTTCTTATTGCCAATTCAGATCAAAATCCTACACTGCCTTAAGAAGATCTTTGTGGGTGTAAATAACTCCCTTGTCTCCTTCCACCACTTGCCCTTTACCTCTCAACACCCTGCAATTATGAACCAAATTCAACTTCTTACTTTTCTTTTCTATAACAAAACCCATTTTGATCTAATTGTTATAATTGAATTCAAGATTACCATCGAGTAGTTAACAGTCCCTCGACTCCAACTGGACCTCGTGCGTGGATTTTGCTTGTACTGATTCCCACCTACATATATGAGAAACACCAAATGAAATCAGAAACCAACCAACACACAATTTTCCTCAACTCCTTCACTTCATAATCATACCTCTGCTCCAAGCCCGAACCGTGCACCATCACAAAATCTTGTGCTTGCATTGTGAAATACTGCAGCACTGCCAAAACCAAAACCAAAACCAAAACCAGAACCACACAAGTTTCATATTTTGATGGTTTCATGATTTCAAATAAATCAGCAAACATTTGACCATGGATTATGTGTACCTGTCAACTCGGCTTAGAAAGTGTTCAGCAACATCATGATCATCTGTAACAATGCACTCGGTATGGGAACTGAAATGGAAGAAGAAAAAGTTACCAAAAAGCGAAAAAAGAAAAAAGGAATGGAAATGGAGATGGAAATGGAAGGTTTTTAACATACCTTCCGTAACTGTGTATATGATCTATGGCCTCATCAACATCCTTCACTATTTCAATTGTGCAAGCCTTGGAGTTATACTCGTGGTGGAATGTATTTGCCTTTGAGAAGTTAACCACACCATTCACTCTCGGTCCAGCAAACAGTGTAACACCTGTGCCAGATATGTTACATACCAAATAAATTCATGAAATAGTTGGTTTTCAGGTTGTCAAAAATACTTGCGGTTCTCATTTGGACATGCCCATGTGTATCACTTTCAACTGATGGTATATTTATTATTGTACCCAAAATATAATTTAATTTTGGTAGAAAACATTTCTTTTAAGATCATTTGTGATGTTTATTGAGTATAGCCATGTATCATATATATAGACTTGGGATCATGTGAGAYAAGGCTGTTTTCATKAGACACGATCTTTACACTTGAAACTTCACAGAACACTGTGAAGGTAACCTTCACAGTGTTTTTACTGTGAAGATTCGGCTTTTTTTACCTTCACAACATTTTGTTGTGAAGTTTCAAGTGTAAAAATCGTGTCTGACGAAAACAATCTTGTCTCACGTGAAACCAACCCTATATATATATATATATATATATATATGTATATATAATACAATAATGTAACAAGCATCATTTCGTAGAGCCAAAAAACAGAAACTTTGAAGTCCATGTTGTACCTTCTTGTTCAAGTTCTTTAACAAGCTCTTGCAGCCCTCCGCTAGTCAGGTCCTTGTGCACAAGTAGTGTTTCCTAAAAAAAAATACAATTTCATGAGCAAAGATGACACAAAAGTGGTCATAAACACGTGACACGTGAAAACAAGTACAAAACATATGTGGATATAGAAATTACCATAGCATTACAGGCTGCTGGATAATCTGTTTTTGCATCCAACACAATCTTTTTTGCCATCTCCAAGTTAGCAGCCTTATCAACATATACATGGCAAATTCCATCTGCAATGCAAAATCACGACTTCATTTGCAAACTAACATTTGTTTATCATTCCATTTATTTCATTGTGAAAGCTTTTCCACAATCAAGAACGAAAAGTAACCAAGTTCAAATTTTATCTTACCAGAATGACCAAGAACTGGGATTTTTGTAGAGCTCTTTATTTGGGAAACAAGTTTATTGCTGCCTCTAGGGATCACAAGATCTATCACATCATCGAGCTGTTCAAAACAATTTGAGGGGAAAAAGATAAGATATATAAATATAAATATATATATGTATATATATATATATATATATTGAATATGTATTGTACACAATTATGATCATGCTAAATCTCCACACACCTTCAACAAGTCTGGGATTTCCTCTCTTGATGTCAATAGTCCAATTAGTTTTGTTCCAACATTTTCTGGGAGAGCAGAAGTGATTACCTGCAAAAACACATAATTCCAGAAAAATAGTAAAGATTTATAACCAAGAAAATATAGAATCCTTCAGAAAAAGATTTGAAAACCGAAGGCAACAAGACAAACCTTGTGCAGTATCGCATTTGACCTTTTAGCTTCTTTCCCTCCTTTCAGTAGCAGGCCATTCCCACTACGGATTGCCAATGAAGCTATCTACAAATTTGGTTCATAAAATTATGGATCAATTTCTCAGGACCATATACCACTAAACATCAGATAAATTAGTGGAAATATGCAGCATAAAACAAAAAAAAGGTATAAGAGCATCTTAAATTAGCGAGAAGTACACAAAAATCATACCATTATCCTTACTCTATTCTGCATTAATTTCATGTGACATTAGCAAGAGTTTCTGTTACCTGAACTAATGCATCAGGCCGAGACTCGAAAACAATAAGCAGAACGCCTAAAGGACATGTCTTCTTCTCTAAGATTAGCCCTTCTGCAAGCTGCATGTGAAATCATTAGTAAATGTGTGTTAACGATTACTGAGCACAGAATGGCATATCAGGATATCGAAGATGGCTACATTTTGGATTTTCTATCCATTATTAAGTAACTCCAGTAATTCATCTAATATACTTGGGCTCAGCAAACAAAAGCATATAGGCAACTTAAACTAAATCGCTCCCAAATCATGCTCTTAATTTTCCACAAGAATTTATCTTGACATAGAAAAAAGCTTCTCACCTCTGTTCTTTTCAATACATGACCAATGGGTTCTTCCATTTCTGCTAGTTTACGCACGGATTCTGCAAGAGCGCGGATCTGGAAAAAAAACAATGAACTTGTTAAGAACAACAAGAGAAACCACTTCAAACACTTTCCAGATGGACGTAATAAAACAGAATGGAGGCACATTGATTCATATGTCAAGATGATGCATGAAAACAATAATCCCAGTAAATTAAAATAACACGAAATAGGAAAGCCAAATTCCTAGAAAAAACAAGAATTCAAGAATTATTACAGATACATGCCTTGCTAGCCTTTAAAGCTAAACGAGCTACCAAAGCTTCATCATATCCTGCATCACGTGCAGTTTCAACATCAGCATCGTTTTCAAGCATGATAAACTGTTCGTTTGCCTCCAAAGCAGCAGCTACATCCAATAAGATTTTCTTTCTTTCTTCGGTTGTTAGCGCCTGTAATACCCAAAAAAAGTACAAGAATAAGTAATCAATCAAATTTATGGTACACACAAATATACATACACACACACACAAACATATATATATATATATATATATATATATATATATGCATGTTTTTTGTGCGTATGCGTGTGTACATATGTATTATGTGCATACATGTATGTATTACTGCTTTAATTGAACATATCAACAGAAGTAAAATGATATCTACAAGTTAGAGGTGTATTTATATGTGGGTGTTGCATCATGCTTATTGACTGTTGACAATTTTCTTGAAATCATCTAACAGGTTATAACAGGACCTATGGCATTGTGCAAAGGCTAAGGGGGCTGTCTACATGGATTGGGAAAGCTTTTGTTTGGGAGCATTTTTTTCATAGATTTAGAAAGTGTGTTTTTGTTTGGGAGCATTTTTTTCATAGATTTAGAAAGTGTGTTTTTTTTAATTGGGAGGGGCAAGTTTGGAAAAAACTTGGCTTTCTGCATAAAGCACCCTCCTAGAAGCTTACGAAATGAGCCACTTTCTATATCATTAAGCCACTACCAATGGTAATATATAGCTGACCGGACAAGCTGAGTCTCATTAAGCTGCTAACAAACAGGCCCTAAAACAGGTTAGCTACAGTAACATGAGATTTATGAAACCTGAAGGCGTCGAGAGGCTTCACGAGCTGAGCCTGCCATCTCATGTGGACCAATTTCTGTAACTGGAATCCACATATGTGCATCCTTATGAAAGAGGGTACCAACGCGTTCTCCATTTAGAACTTTTATGATGTTATTAGCAGCATATCCACTACAACAAAGATGGTAGGAAATTCAGTACAAAACAAGAAAAAAAATAGCACATATATGCTAGATTGTGGAATTAAAATAAGATACCTTGCAATGACAACAGGTGTACCAGAATAAGCTGCATTGGATGCAGCTTTCACTTTTGCATCCATTCCACCTCTTCCCATCCTTGACTTGTCTCCAAAACTGATCGCCTTTTGATGTTTTTGTTTAACATATGTATGGATTAGCTTTGAACGTGGATCGCTGGGAGGACCACTATAAAGGCCATCCACATCGCTCAACAACACAAGGAGATCTGCCTTCAATTCCATGGCAAGAAGAGCTGCCAAACTGTCATTATCCCAGAAAATGCCAGAGGAATCCTGAAAGACAGAGTTTTCCTGAAATTTAGCATATTTATAACTGCGATATATATATCCACGAATGTATGCAATTATAATTCAGAAAATAAAGATTTTATGCATAATTCTAGTCATATACCTCATAAGGAGCTCTCCTTGTACTGATTGCATCATTTTCATTGAAAATTGGAATGCTCCTTAAGTCTAACAATGAATCCACTGTTTGACAAAGTTGCACCCTGAAATCAGCATTCTTGAAATCATTATCCGTGACAAGGAGTTGAGAGGAGGTCACGTCCAACTGCAAACAACATTATGTGAGCACAAGCTAAAAATACCAAGTACTTTCTTCTGGTTTTAATTCAAAAAAGGCCAACACTTTTACCTGGCTGAATAAAGTGTCGTACAAGGCCATCAAACCATTTTGACCGACTGCTGCACAAGCCTTTCCATCAAGTTCAACTTGTGGTTTTTGGAGGTCAGCAAAACTACAGTAACATTTTGTCAACAGAAATAGCTAATTAGCAGTGGTTAATACCTTTGCATTCCATAAATGCCAACAAAACAAGTATAGCCTTCAGCATATCTAGCATGCATGCTTTAGATAAATCCAAGCTTACAGCAAAACAATTGCCAATAATTATAGCAATGAGGAAAGTGAAATCATAGAAAATGTTTGTTTTACAACAAAACTGGACCGATCGCTTCAAACTACAAAGTTTAATGCCCGAATGTTATGCAAAGAAAGACTAGGACCTGCTGTTGATCATTTTCCTGTATTTAAGCCTTTGGCGGCCAGCTCCAACAGCTCCTGAAGTAACCAAAATTATTTCAAAGCCTCGGGAATTCAACTTTTCGAGCTGCAAGCAAATTGTTCAGTACATAAGTCTAAAGATCTGCATCAGATTCATACCATATAAGATCAATCTTGGCAGCTAACCAAAAGGTAATTAAAAAAAATTGGTATTTAGTAAAATTCACTGAAAGAAAAAATCTTTATTGCTGATTCCTTCTATTCGCATATGATATTGATCTTTGGGAGCTACTTGAATGCTGAAGTAATATTTAATACGAGTTTACTTGGAAAATTCAGTAATTAGTAATATCCTAAAAGATATAATATCGGCAGTGATGTTTTCCCATCCTTTCCTTCTTCCTGTTATTATTAGTGAGGTAACTAAATATGGAACCGTTACTATATTTGAAATTTACCACGTGCTTAATGAAAGCCCGACAAAAGTACCTGTTCAAAAATAGCTCCAAGTCGCCCGACAGCTAACCTCCCATCATCGCGAGTAACCACAGCTGTTCCCACCTACAGTAATGAAGATAAGGTTTTATGACTGAAGTAAACATGTCATCATTCACCATGAAACCTTGCTTCTAAATGACATTTGATGTTAACTATAGTCATAATACATTGGACAACCATTGGTTCAAGAACATAGTAGTCATCTTTTGTTGACAAATAAGTATAAAATGACCACAAAATCTTCACATTGATCTCTAGATTCCATATTTGGCAAAAGAATCAATTCACATTTAAGAATGCAATCCAGCATTCTTATTCTAAAATCAGAAGAAACTATTTCCCATCTACTGCATTCAATGCCACAATATACTGGTTGATTCTTCCAAGAAATACAAACTTTGAAGTGGGAAAACAAAATTATAGACAAAGTATTCTTAGAGATGATTAGTTACGTTTTTTATCTGTTCCAAATTACACATTTAGAAACAAAGGTATTACAATTTTCATTTTTATTTCCGACCCTTCTGGGAATAGAATACAAATTCAATTTCTTTGCAATTAATTTGTAACCTTATGTACCAGTTTTTGCCCTTTTCAGCAAATATATCGAGCATATGAAAAAATTCACATTATTTTGTTAATTTTGAAGGGAAAATTATATGCCCAAATAAGAGTTGTAATCAATGTGAATAAAAATATCTTTAAGAAAATGATATGTGGACATCATAATCTGAAACGGAGATAAAGAATGTCCATCAACATGTGGACGTCACAATCTGAATCGGAGATAGAAAAACAAATCGTGTTGCTACATGAAACCATAAACAGGTCAAATTAAATGGATCTAGCTTTATCAGATATGAATACAAGTATCATATGAATTGTCGTTTTCATGTGCATGGCAAAGCCTGCCAAGTGTCATTCATCCATACACCACAAAAAAATTAAAATAAACCAAAAAAATCTGTAGAAAAAAAAATATCGCGATCCGAAAAAACAGAGATGAACAAATCGAACTCGATCAAGCAGGGTTTAAGCAAATCCTCTTTACTCACTACTAAACATCACATCGTAACAACAAAAACAAGCAACACATATGTTTATCAGATATAAACGATAACAGTTTACAACAATATGAATATCCGACGGTATACCTTGACGACAACACGCTTGACGTTCTTGACAAAAGCTCGAGTAGGATCCATGACGTAAATCGATTGAATGTAAGAGGTTTAAGATGAAAACCTCAGAAGCGATGGGATGAGAGAAGAACGAGAGCGAATGCGTGATTTAAGAAAAGTGWGTGTGTGTGTGTGTGTGTGTAAATGGCGATAGAAGGAAGGGAGAGATATTGGTTGGAAGAAAGGGGTGGGGCTGCGGGAGAGGCGACGCCAACGTGACGACAATATACGGCTCCAACAGATGGCACCTGCAGTGTGGCTATGGGGTTTTACACACTTCCCCAAATAATTATTAATTTATTAAAATATCAAACAAGTAAAATCATTAATATCGCCACTACAATAAGAAGCGAATATGTTACGGTATCTTTTTTTTTTTTTTTATATCATATATTAATTAACTCTATTTAGTATTCATTAAATTTGGTATCATCATTTTTTTTTCCGTAAAAGTTGAAGTTAAAAATTTATTTATATTGAGATATTTACCGACTAGATCTAGATGTATTAAAATCGTTGAATATTCAGATAATATGTGAATATGTGTTGTATCATTTATCTCTACTTATACAAATATTCAAATAACTTTCATATAATACAAGTATATATATATATATACATATATATGTGTGGAGGTTTAAACGAGAACCCTTCTGATTTACAAGAACAACTCAATAACCTCAAACTTTTTTAATTAATAAATTAACTTATATTAAATATAAATAAATTAATAAGGCAGTATTGTAATTAAGTAATTTTTATTTTATTTTAATTAATTATAATTATTCATTTTTTTTTTTATTGATCACGTTCGTTTCCATTATCTTCTCTTCCCTTGTGATAATTGTGTGATTGTGTAACTATAACCTATCGAAATCATGATCAATCGAGTGTAACCATAACCTATCGAAGCCATGAGTAATCATTGTGATAAATTTGAGATTGTCTAACTCTAACCGATTGAAACCATGATTAAATTGAGTGTGCAAGTGATGTTATAATAGTGATATCACATGATTATCACACCCAAATTACATCAAATCGTGTTGAAATAAGCGATAACCATAATAGCTCCATTATGTTATCCAGATTATTGGGTTTAGTGTGATCGTGTTCTTAAAATTTTATCACTTTGATTTCCAATATTACCCTTTTGCCTCTCAAATTTTTTTAAATTGTTTTAAATTCATTTTTAATTTAAACTTTTTTTTAAAATTTATTGTTATTGCAATATGAGATTAATAGGTTGTTCTCGCATTATCGCAAATCACATGGGTTCTCGTTTGAACCCTTCCCCATATATATATATATATATATATATATATATTAAAGAAATAACCAAGAGTATTGAGGTGACATCATGAGAATTGAGGTGTTGTTGAATTATGGTTGAGTTTGGGATACCCAATATTGGTGAAAGATTGAAAGATTGGAATAAAGATATGTGTATAAGAAAGAATTATGAGATTAATTGTGTCAACTCATAAGGTTGAGATTGTAGAAATAAATTATGTTTACAATCATCAATATATATATATATATATATATAGAGAGAGAGAGAGAGAGAGAGAGAGTTTGGTTCAAATACTAACCAAGAAATTTGTGTTAACTATACTAACCAAGTTTCACCAATCATATTCCATATATTATTTATGTTCAAATGTAACTCATATATTAAATACAAGGGTAATTAGAAAATTTGACATTTATGTAACTCCCTAATAATTAATTGGGAGTTACAAATCTTAAAGATCTCACAAATTGATCATGATGTAATATTGAATTTTATTTTCATACGTGTTCATGATCATGGTTTACAAATGATGTTCTACATATAATGATATTGAAGTAGTAAGTGTAAAAGATTTTCGTATCGTCAGAGTAATATAGATAATCCTATTGTAAACAAATTGAAAACAATGGAAATGACAAAATCGTCTACGACTACATTCGCAATTCGAATTCCGATAATGAAGAAAATGATCAAAGCGTTCCTATTGGTAAGTGATTAGTATGGCAATTCATTTAAATGAACACATATCAAAGACAATAGATGTTCATATTGATACATATGCACAATCACATCATATGAATATGAACAGTATCTGTGATTCATGTGAACACAAGCTTCGTAAGTGTTCATGTACATACAACAGAGTTGGCTCTTGAATATACAGAAGATGTTCATACGGTTCACATGTTGTTCATATGTCTAATCTTTTTTGTTTGATGTGTTTTGAGGATATACACAAGTTGTTCATATGTCTGACAACTCGTGTATCAAAGATATATTACTTTTTACCTAAATATCATTTGATATTTTGTTCACATATGTTAATGAAAATATTAATTTAATAATTAATTTTTAAATATCATTAAATCACAACCGTTTATTATTTAAATTAATGGCCAAGATCGGTTAACAAAGTTAACACGATAATCTTCGTTAACATTTGAACCAGCCCCGATATATATATATATATATATATATATATGTGTGTGTGTGTGTGTGTGTGTATACTAGAAGGGTACTCGTGCAATGTATCGAGACACATTTCCATTTCAATGTTTCGTTTTATTCTTTTTCCATGTCGATATAATATTTTTTATGTGGTTTTGAGCAAGCGATAATGTTTTTATTTTTGAATAAAATATAAATTTGAAAATATCATATAAAATTTGCAAAAAATATATCAATATTAGTATCAAATTATGTAATTAAAAGTTCTTGTTTGTTTATTTATTTATTAATTCAAAATTTTTATTATAATTTAATTAACGTAACAAAGTAACTTAATTTAGGTTTAATAATATTTTTTTATAAATATAAGAATTAAGTATTCTGTTAGGGTGCGTTTGGTGCGCAGACATGACTGGACAGGACAGGACGGGACGGGACAGGACAGGACAGGACAGGACAGCTGTTCAGCGTTTGGTAAGACAGGACAGGACAGGACAGAACTGGTAAAAATGACCAATTTACTCCCCAGTGAGTTGTTTAGTGTTTTTTCACTACGAAATGCATTATGGTAACACTGGTCCTACTACCACTACAGCCCTAATAAGTACCAACAACAATTAACAGCAATAGGAAACAACAAAATCAATAGAAACAACAAGGTGTTTGGGTTTATATAAACAGCAAACAGCAAACCTAAAATAGATTCTATCAAACAGCAACAGCGATAGAAACAACAACCTAATCGAGGTTTATGCTAAACATGTGATCAAACAGCAACAGCAAATACGGCAACCTAATCGATGTTTATGCTAACTACAACAAATACAGCAACTACAAACTACAACAAATACAGCAACTACAAACTACAACAAATACAGCAACCTAACAAATGAGCTGGGAGAGGCCAAAGTGTTTTCCAAGCTAGCAATTAACAAATAAGAATGGCAGAAGATGAAACTATGGTTGCCATGGTTGCCACAACACCATGGTTGCCATGGTTGCCACATGAACATGAACCTATCAACACAGGAGCAAGAAACAGTGGCAGTAGCCAACCGATTGAAGTAAGAAATAAGTTAACACTTACAAATCAAAAGCAACCGATTGAAGTAAGAAATAAACTAACATTTACATAGCTAACATTTACATAGCCAGGTATCACTAGACTTCCACTGTTCTAAGAAATAAGCCCCAAAATCAACATAGATTTTGATGTAAAACAAAACCCATGTCCAAATTGAAGTAATAAATCAAGAAAGGTGATGAACAACTACAATTTGTGGTAAGAACATACCTTTTAGGAGGCGATGCAGTTTTGAGAGTGAATTGGATTAGGTCGTCGATGAACAGTGGCGAAAACCAGGTCGCGATGAACAGTGGCGAAAACCAAGTCGTCGTCCGTTGATTGGAGCTCTCCGTCCGTCGATTGGAGCTCGTCRTCCGTCGATGGAGATGGAGGTCGATGCTGTGAAGAAATCGATGGAGATGGAGGTCTCCAGTGAAGAAATCGACTCTCCAATGAAGGTCGCCGTCGATGGAGATGGAGGTCGTCGTCGATGGAGTTGATGAAGGTCGTCGTCGATGGAGATGGAGGTCGCGAGGTGATGAGCCGGGTAGGGGAAGAAGGGGTAATGAGGGAAAATTTTTGTGTTCCACTTAGTTCCAGGGGTAATCGTGGAACACGCGTGTCCCATGTTTGTCCAAGTTAGTTCCACTTAGTTCCACATTTAGCCACACCAAACGTAGGAGAAATGTGTTCTGTCATGTCATGTCCCACCATGTCCAGCGTATCAAACGCACCCTAAGACTCAATAATCATCCTAATTATATTTTAAATTTTTTATATTTTAAAATGAGATGTTTATCCTCTATTTGATTATGTTTATTCATAGTTAGTTACACGAATTCAAACATAGAGCTTTAATAAGATGTACTTATGCACAGTTTACTTGTAATCTTGAATTTTAAATAATATGCATTAATAAACAGTATTTTATGCATAAAAATGTTTTTAAGAGTTTTTGTCAAATGCTTTATAATACTAGAAGGATACTCGCGCAATGCAACGAGATACATCTTCATTTTAATATTTTGTTTTATTTATTGTCTCTGTTGATATAATATAGTTCATGTCGTTTTGATAAAGACAAATGATTTTACTTTTGAATAAAAATAAATTTGAAGATATCATAAAATTTTGAAAAAATACATCGATATTAATGTTAAATTAACTATTTAGAAGATCTTTTTTTTAATAATTTTTAATTCATATTATAATTTAATTTAGGCCTAATAGTGAAACAATTTATTTTTGATTTAACAATATAATTTTTATAAAGATAATGATTCTGTTAGAACTTTTAGATTTTTTATATTTAAAATTAAATGTTTATCCTTTATTTGATTATGTTTATTTGCAGTTAGTTATATGAATTTAAAAATTGAACTTTAATAAGTTGTACTTACACACAATTTATTTATAATCCTAAATTTTATGTAATATGAAGTAATAAACATTAATCCATGCAGAAAGATAATAATTTAATTTTGTGTAATTTTTTAATTTAATTTTTTAATTATAATTTAATTCAAGTTCAATAATGAAGTAATTTATATTTGGTTTGATAATATAATTTTCTTATAAAGATAATAATTAATTATTTTGTTAGATTTCGATAATTATCTTAATTATATTTTTATAT